CGGAGCGCTTTGCTTGCCTGGCGCTCTCTCGAGCGAGATAGTGTGAACTGTAACATTCCAGCTTTTCACGCATGTCAAGTGACTGCCTTCACCTCCGCCCTAGACTGCCTAGAGTCCCCATAGCTCACGGATTTCCCGAAGTACGCAAAGATGTCAGGCGAGCAAAGCGCCGCGCTGATGCGTGTCCCCCCCATCTAAGTTAGCAAGTTAGCACCGGAATTCTTTTTACATATTTTTTTTTCATGTTGAGTAGTATTAGTTCTTTATTGGTAACCACTCAATGAAATGCCGATGTTTTTACGACAAGAAGTCAATTGTATTACTATAGTAAACATAAGCAATTGATGACAGAATGTTCATGAATAGTAACCATTATGACAGTTGTTTTTCTAGTTCGAGAAGAACTCGTCTCAGTCGTCCGAATAGTCGAGCAAAATCCGAATATGGCGCTGTTCCGGAAGGACGTGAGCAATTCGATGCGAGAGCCTATCCGCTGCCACCACCACAGTACACGGGGTTTGTCAGAGGAAAGGCGTCACTTCACGATTCTGATTACAGTGTTTATTTAGAAACTTTCCTCCTTCTGGACGCCGTTCAGTGCAAAATCCGATGGGCGTAATGAATCCGCAAGAGTATTATGTTCAACAGGCTCACATGTACAAGGAACGACGTCGGCCGCAGTCTTCGTTCGATCCGCGAGCAATGGAGAGGTATGCTTATTGGTTATCCTAGCATAAACTGTTTTCCAGACTGCATAGATTAGTACTATTTTACTTTTTATGCACCGATACCATGTATTGTATTCAGTTGGTTGTGTATAACTTTACCTTACTGACCTGTAGTAATGTGGTGTGCTCGTTTAACAATACTCCACTGTTCTTACTGTAGATTATTTGTGCTATATCTGTGCGTTCGAATGGAAGTTGGGAGTTCAACAAAAACTTAAAGGCCTTTTATCCCCTATTGTCATTTTTGATATTTAGGTACCAACGTGCCGGAGGGCGCTACGGGCAGTATGATACCTATGATGATGCGCATAGCAGTGTTTCCGACGGATCTGATTCGGATAATGGTGAAAGAGGCGATAGCGAAGAGGAGATCAGGAAGTATACGCAGAAGGTAAAGTCTATGATAATGTGTTCCTGGCATTTTCACATAGCTGAATTTAAGGGACGATTTGGTGGTCCTGGAGAGTCATTTAATGCGATGGCAGTTGGCGAGGAAATGTACTATTTTGGTGCTATTCATCTTGATCAGGTTCGAAAATCGTAAACCGTTCGATAGATCTCACGATTATTGATCGATTCTCATGGGAGTCTTGAAGAAATTACGTAGAAGCATTTTATATTTGAGCCTTTCTGGGCAGAGTGCCTGGTAAGCAACAAATGGTGATATTTATAGAACACCTGTACTTTTTGTCTTGTTTCTCTAGCTCTCATTCGTAATTCAGTATAGGATTCACATTTTCAATTTTTCTGTGGCTGTTCAATCAGTAGATGTCGTGTTTTTTCCTCTTAGGCACGTGTGCGCTCTATTCTTGTCAACTTTCCACCTCCTGTGGAGTATCATCGATTGCCACCGATTGAAAAAGCTGCCTACCTCTTCTTCATAGCTGTATACAAGAAGCAGTATAGTGATATCGGTGATTTCCATCGTAAATTTAACCGCGAATACTATAAATATACGTGCGATGGCGATACCGATGATGTCGCTTTATGGAAGGTATGCAGTACTAGCTAATTCATGTGGCTCTTTCCAATGCGTGGTTTTCAGATATGCAAGTCCATGCAAGAAGAGTATCATTCGAAAAGATTGGCTGAGTCTCAGAAAGCGTATGAAGCTAGCCAGCGTCAGTTATTCAGTGATGATCGAGATAGTGCTGATGGGTGAGTACGGTTTCTAGTTATGGACAGGCAACATTCGCAACTGTTGTTTACCTTTGTTCTGTTTGAATACTAAAACATAGTGTTACACTAATCCGCCAAGCAATTTGCTTCAAGTTTGATTATTAAGCAAGGAAGACGATTTTATCCCCTTAGGGGATAAGCCACGCCGTCTGATTTTGAGAACTAGTTCTGCTCCGAATTTGTGAGTTCTGGTGATGCACCAATTTGAGCAATGATGGGAGGGATTTATACTGCATGCTGTGTACACCATTGAAGTACATGACAGGTCACCTATGTTGTACGAGGAGTAGTAGTTTGTAGGGTATTACCACCAGTGCTCCTCGTCTTCCCAGCAAATCGACAATGTAGTGTTTAGGATAACAATTTCAACCTTTGTTTTGAAGTAAATATAATAGAGAGGTGAATTCTTGTTCTTCCATCGGGGCCTGTTCTGTAACTGCTCCTGATTTAATCTTTTCCACTCGGAGTGTATAAATCCCATCCACCAATTTCTGTATTTTTCGCTGATTGTCCGGCCGTTTGGGCTCTGACGTTTCCCTGTATGTATAATAGTTTCTACGGGAGTCTCGGGTACTCTGTGTTAGAAAATTTTTTGTGGCTCGTCTGTTAATCCAGTTTTGCAGCATGAGTGAGCGAGCAAGTATGGATGAGAATCATGATGATAGAACGTCGGATATCCTGAGCATCGATTCCAGCCAACGAGGTATCTTTTTTGTAACTGTGTGCCAATCGTACATCTTTTCTACTGATGGGAAATTATGATCTAGCTCCATTGAAACATCGTGTGCCGCACGCTTTCGTGTCGTTTGGTCCTGGAGGGAAAATGGTAACGGTGCATCCTGATTTGTCCGTATCGGTTGTGCAGATTGACGATATCAAAGCGGTGGTCTCAGATCCTTACACTGTACGCTTGATTGACAGCGCTCAAACATTTAAAGGTATGTTTTAGCTCGGTGTTTCGATCCGTTATTATTTTTACCATGGAGTACTCAGGTCCACTCCTCATCGGCCAGACACCCACGCATTCCGTTCGACTTTACATCGAACGCCAGATTAAGAGAATTCGTAACGGTGAAGTAGCGTCGGAAAATCCTCGTGATAACGATGTCATTGATTGTCTTCTTATCTGGCAGTTGCTTGGTATCATTGTACAACAGCAAGGGGTAGGTTTTCCCCGAGATTGTTCGAGGACCTGTCTTCACAATTCCTCCACTTTCAGCGCGTGACTGGTCCGGACGTGGCGCGGCTTTTGGTAGAAGTGGGAGGATCGGCACCATCGAGAGCTTCGTCAATGACGCATCAGACGCACCATTCACATCGCGAGAAGAGTGCGACTCCCGTGGACAGTGTGACAACCGCCATTGGTCCTGTACGCAACCAGGCTATCATGGACGCCAGGGCCTATGAACGTTTCACTGAACTACTTCTAGGCGGGCATATTGCGGTGAGTAATGAATCATGAGCGTAATAGTTGAAGGAGAGCTGTCGTTGTTGAGACGATACCCAATAATTTTATTGGAGTATAAAATGTTTTTGGGGAATCACTCAGGGTCAAGCGTGCGTTGAGGAATCCTCGACACGTCGAAGGCGGATTGTATTGGCTCACTGGGCGGAAGAGATCGGGCCGCGTCGATACAGTAGGATCATCACTGTCGAAGGAGAAACATTCGGAACGGACTTCGGCCTCTGGGGAATGGGGTCGTATTTCAAAATTTTCCTCGACGCTCCGCTAGACCCTGAAATCACTGACGAGTGCCGATCGTTGTTTTACTTTGCTTTCCCAGCAATAATTGTGTTTACGAAAGTCTTTGTTATCTCTACTGGAAGGAAATGTTAAAGGTTATAACGGTAGGAAGCAATCCCTCAATAGATCTGCTATGAATTTAGGAAGCGATCGACAGCGCGCTCCGTGATGGGCTATATGCGGATGCCATGATTTTGGCCAGAAGACTGCTGGCGCATGATGTTGCAAAGCTGGCCGAAATTGAAGAAAGATTCATCGCTACTCGTCCTCAGTGCAACCCTGTGGTCACCCTGGTGTCTGTGTCCAGCAAAAAGCTTGTTCCGATTTTGGTAATTCCCTTTTTAGCGTAGAATCGGCCATTTTAGAAAGAAAATCTCAGTTTTAGATGAACCCAACTGGCGACGATTCGGGCAGCTGGCGTACTCATGCGGCGATTATACTCGCAAATCTGACGTCTTCTGAGGCTATGGAAACTGTTCGTAATTGAAAACCTTATTTTTCTCAAGTAGTAACGATATGTCATTCTTACAGGTCTATGATCTTGGAAAGGCATTAGCTAAACGAGATTATAACTGCGCAGCAGATTTCTGCTTTTTGGCGGTTTCTGTTCTGGCTGGTATCAATCCATTTACTCCAGTAGCTTCTACGTGAGCGTTTCGATTTAAGTGTTTTTTTTTAATTCCTGACGATAATTTGTTGATTTTTCAGAGCACAGGATGGCGATGCGCGTCAACATATCACCTTAATTCATGCTTGTCTTCCTGACGATGATGTGGCCTCGGTGCGATGTCGCTATGGGTAAGATCTGATCACGTCCATTTAATTTTTCAAGTTTTGCCTGTGATTCTGATCTTGTTTGTGAACAGTGTATGTGCGTTGGGTACCTACCAGGGAATGGCGAGTGCAGAATTCAATTAGAAAAATTTAGAGTGTAGCATTGAAAATTTTTACTCACAACTAACTGAACGCATCGATCCAGTCGGCTCCCCCACTTTCTTCACGATTTGGGGCGCGGCCGCGGCGAGCGCGGACGAGTCGATAGTGCCCGCGAACTGTGGTGGTGTGCGTTTTCAAATTTACCCGCACAGTTCGCGGGCACTATCGACTCGGCCGCGCCCAAATCGTGAAGAAGTGGGGGAGCCGATCCACTCAGCTGTGGCGACCGCGCCGCTACCACGCGCGCGTTGTCCCGCTCATCTGTTCTCCTTTTCTCACAATATGCTCATTCAGGTTCTCTCTAGTTGACCTCCATGCAACTGAGATTTTTGACTATGCCGTACGGCTTTCGGACGTAAATGCGTACTCACCTCTCGGAGAATCGATCGAATATCAAAGGAAGCGTATCCAGTATGCTCATCTTATAGCAGAGTTCGGAGGTTTCGCCACAGATGCATTCAAGTAAGTTTTTGATGTACTGAGTTGAAAAGATCATGCTCCACATGCTATTTACAGGTACTGCATGGAGATCGCTCGTTCGATTTGGAACTTCTACCATCTTCTATCTGTAGCAGAATTGACTTCGCTTTGTGATTTAGCTGACAGGTATGTGATGAGCTGTATGGACTGTGATCGCAGTTTCATATGAATTCTTTCTGAAGACTTCGATACGCTGCATCGGCGAGCGATTGGGAGACGTCTTGGATTGCTAGTTTGCGCGCCATGATTCAACAAAAGCAACAACATCAGACTGACGAAGTACCCCAGCCTGATCTTACCGCAAATCAACAGTCTGCTCCGCCTGCACCGCAATCTCCGCAATCTCCACAATCTCCTGTACGTTATATCTCGTTTGAATACCATCTTCGATTATTCATCACTTACCCATCCTTTCAGTTGTCTAATGAGAATTACGCTTCTCCGCTCCCGGAAACGCTCTCTGGAGGAGATAGTGAAGCTGCTTCTCCTCAGCAAGAAAATGCGGCAGGGAATAGGTCAGTTCTGAATGTTCTGTTGTTTTTTAGTCGTGACGTTTGAAGTTTTATTCAGATCAAGATCTGCATCGCTAACCTCTGAGGCACGTGATTGGCATGCTCAGCGCCAAGACCCACTTCAGATGAGTCCCGTGTTGCCGCGATCGACCGCTGTCAATGCTGTAGTTGAGGAGAACGATGGACGTGTGTCTCGGTCACGAACTGTGAGCAATGCTAGTCAACACGGCCATGTAAGTCAAATGGTCGTGATTTGTCCCAGTCTGTACTGTTTTCGCGCTATGCTCAGAATGGAGAGTTACGCTGTTGCGCAACGTACTCAAATGGTCATTGGAATCGTACACTCCTGTTGTGTTGTTACGGTTAAGATTGTGATGAAAGTGATTACTTTGTTATAGTACGACATGCATTCAAAACAACCAGCCGATATGTACATGCACTCAACAGCGCAGTCGTATGCAGGAGCTCACGCGTATGCTAATATGGAGGATCCCTCCACGAATTCTGAAGATACCAGTGCTCAGTCAACAACGGAAAGCACGCCTATTCGCACACTGGTTGGATCTGTAATGAGTTTTGTTTTGACAATCTGTTTTCCATTAAGTTCTTTTAGAACCATCAAACAGAAAATCTGTCGCTAGGATCACAACCTGTTCCGGATTATCAGCGAATTTCCCAGCAACATATGGTGAACTCGTTTTTTTACGACAGTGACCGGTTTGGGTAACACTCACAGCTTTTCAGCCTCCACCAGCTCCACACGCTTCACAACCTCTTCAGTCAAATAGAAACGCCGCTCCACTATCACAAAATGGTTTGCCGGAGACAAATATGAAGGTTCGCTGTTCAGTGACAACAACGGCTGCTCTACTTTTTCTTGAATAGGTTCCGTTTCAGAAGAAGCAATTCCACTCAGGGTGCAAAAGGTTTCTTGAGCAACATCAAAGAAAAGCTCATGAAGTCAATACCGAGTGGTAACGAAATGATTCTCCCTGACGATAGCAAACCTACCGTAAGTTTTGCCGAGGTTAATACCAGATGCGATATCCAGGGAAATGCTCCTGTCCAGATTGTCTGGGATCCAGTAAAGGGTCGATACGTGGGTGCAGGCGTGGAGGAGGAAACAGCGTCCGCTCCACCGCCGAAGTTGGACGGTGTCTCCAATGCTCATTCAGGTTCCGGTGGTGGACTTCGTGCTGCGCGCACAAGTGGAGGTGAGTTGAATCATGTTCTTGTACGAAGTGTAGTTTTACGGCAATCGTTTCAGGTTCTCGCTACTTCAATCCTTTGAATCAGGCATCTAATACTAATGGAGCAGCTTCACCGGCACCTGCTGCTCCAATGCCAGTTATGCAAGTTCCAGCCACTTTTGGTTTCATCCCCACCATGCCTGGTAAGTGTGAAAAATTTACAATGATAAACAGGAAAATTTTCGTCGCGGAAACTAATTATTTCATGTTCCCTTATATTCCGAATAAGAAGTCACTTCAGATGACGCTGGAGAATCTGTGGATCCGTTCAGTGGTCAAGCGAATCCGACCGTGCATGGAGTCGAATTGACACAGGCTCAATGAGTTACCGTTGTTGGTGAATGTTATGGTGTTCGTTTCGGCTACCAACTCCAACCTACAATGGTCGGTATCATGTAGAAATACATGATAAATCGCTCAGTTTTCGTGTGATTCTCCATGTCAAGGTGGTTGTGGAAATTTTAGGGTAATACTGAGTGAAATTGGGAAAAGTCCTATAAAATATAAATAATCGTATTCATATTCTTATCGCTTATTAAAGATGGTGTTTGCTCTTTTATGGTCTTAATTTCGACTGTGTCATCGTTTCTTTATTTCTTCTTGCTCTCGGTAAAATCTAGCGTATATTGGGCGGTGTTAAGGTGGAAGGTGTGTGATTTTGGTTCTACTAGGCAGGTCTTTTATATCCCTCGTAGAGAGGCATCGTGATGTTTTATCCTGAAAATGCCAAGTTTGAACTTCTGATTGTGATCGTTACAACCGTATACATGCTCTATACGGTTGTACTCTAGCTGAATTAATAATATTATTTGTTTATACGTTGTTGTTGTTATAGTGGAAATAAATTATTGCGCAAGTTTCATATGGTAGGGGAAACGTCATCTGCTCGCCCTCGATGTGATTAATGTGTGTATCCATTGGCAACTGCTTTAAATCTCAAATTTCCCTTAAATAAATTATAGAGCCTTGTCTTTCGAGTGGTGGTATACTTGCGGTTGAAATTCACTGTCACATATTTCTTACATTTTTTTTACTCTCTGAAGTCGCTAAAGATAGATAGGAAACCACGGAAGTTCGCATTTTCCTCAGCGTTCACATATTAGAGTGAGGGGGTGGAGACTGTCCCGGGTGGAGCTGTTCTCAGTCATTGGACCTTTATCACATGGCTAGATGGCACTAAAGCTCTAATTGACAGAAAAGGGAATATGTATATGGCGATCATGAATTCTTTTAAGTAGGTATCTATCTCCTCCAATGAAATACCTGAGGCTGAGGGTGTGTCTGTTATGGTAGTGCGTCTAATATGGTACATCTTGGCCTCCTCTGAGGCTCTTAGTGCACAAAGCCATTGCGATAACCCCTTTCGTGATGAAGGTGTCGTCAACCTTCGGCAGCTAACTCACTTCCATGCTATATTTTCACGGGGAGTACGCCGAAGTCGCGTTGTCGCTGACGATCCTGTCTGTTCTTGAACATGTTTAATGCATCTTCATGCATGGAGAAGGCTTTAGTTTCTAAAATTATGCCATGGAAGGGGGTCAACATATTCTGAATGGTTTTCTGTACGACTTGTTTGGAACAGACTAAGGAAGGTCGAGACCTTGTTTCAAAGATAAGAGGCGCACAAAACGGATGTTTGTGAGAGAAAGGGTGGTGGAGGAGGTGGAGAAGTGTCCACGAAGACGACGGGTTTTCGCTTTCACGCCGCGGAGATAGCGTAATACCGGCCGCGTGAAAAAGGTATCGTAGGTACGTGTGCTCTTCCGATCTTCCCCGCTACTCAGATGCTCAGACACACCCACTTCCGGCACTGCATGAGATGGTAACGGCAGTGTTTCTGAAATGGAAGCCTAACCGTCATTGTTCAATTTTTATCTCTATGTGTAGTGTTGCTCCGGCCATCCAAGCAGCAACTGTCCTGTTGATCGCCATATGCCGTTGTTTAACTTCACCCAAGCGACCTATATGTTAACGGCAATCTTGCTTACCGCTTGAATTACAGACGAAGAAGGGTTCTCGAGAAAGAGCTGGTCTAGGGGATCTAGGACATAGAGCTAATAGGCCATTATAAGGCTTTTAGTACTAGTGAGTACTAGTAGTGGTGATTGGAGGGGAACTCAACTGACCAACCGTCAAGTGGCCGTTTGAGTTCTCATCCTCTTGCTGGGATAGCGAGCAACTGAGGGATTTGCTCGGAGAAAGGAACCCACAAAGCATTGCCAGTCTGTCTACTGTCTAGCTTGCTGCCACAGAAACGCAGAAAAAATTGGCTAGTTGTCTGAGACTGTGGAGAAATATTCAAGATCAGGCTTATATTTGTTTTTTTTTCGGGAGCTGGCAGGAGGGGAGGAAGGTCACTTCGCAGTCGCCGGAAGAAGTTCCATATTTGGCCTCTGAAACCATTTTTTGAAATATTATATGGAATCAGCTAAAAGTGGTAAGCTCCTTTATTCTTCATTCAAAATCGTATTTCATTGTTTCCCTCTTCATTCGCGTCTCTGAAATTCATATTTCATGATACATTTGGCATATGGCATATATTTCATGATATATTTGGCATAGGTGGATGTTTGGTATCCACCACGCTTGTTCTGTAAATTTTCAAGATTTTTAGTTTTTGACTAGTATGGGTAGTAGCAGTGCACAAGCGTCAAGTCAGTACGAAGGAGTGCTACAGCGCAGTAACAATTGTGAGACTATACTTTTTTCCAGCAGAAAACTTGACTTCTGTCTTTAATGAAGTGCTTAAGGTTTGGTGCTTCTGCGACAGCTGAGGAATCGTGTGACACGTCTACATAATCTCTTATTTCATTCTGCGCCACCTTCAAGAGAAACATGGCATGCTTATTTTCGTCAAGTCGACCGAGTGGACAAGGATCTCCGCGACTGCTTCGAGTACTTTTTTTCTTTTTGTTATCGTTTTATGAGATGAATTTTGTTGCAATGGCAGTAAGGGATGCGCGGAGTTTGATCAATTCAAGGAAACCGAGAATATCTTGAGGTCACATTGCGCTATAACTTTGTGGCCGGACCGTAATAACTTCGTTTAGAGGCGTTTGTCGGATATCTCAGGAAAAAAGGAAATATATCTAACATCCATTCACCTCCAAAAAATGGAAAGAAACGTTGCATGAAAGGTGGTCTTGTTTTCCCGCTTCGGCGTCAGTCGTCTGCTGATTAAATTTCCTGTGAACTCGTTCATTAAGACATAGATAATATCGAAATATTAGCGTCACAAACCTCCACCCATCTTAGGCCGAAAACGATAACGACCTTTTTGAAGAGCAGGCTGAAAGATTTGTAGGCCTTATATGATCTTTCATGCCCCACTGCACAATCTGCTTATCGCAATATTTCCGAGATAAAAAATCTCAAGCGTGAGTTAATTCTATCATAAATTCTAGCAATCTCGAAAGTCATGCGAAAGGGTTGCCAAATCAGTTGCCTCAGATCGAACCTCTCAATCGTCTACGAGCTGTGTTTCAGGTACAGTTGGCGGGAGTTTAGGCTCTCCTTTCTTTCATAATTCTTCTCATTACCAAGTGAGTTTTAGGAAGAGCAACTCGACGTGCAAGTCGTGGAAACCGTTGAGTCCATGATTGATTGTGAGAATTGGAACGAAGGAAATTTCGTAAGTCTGCTGAGCCTTATCATGGTTTTGAAATTTTGTATGGTTATAAGCTATTTTTTTTTCAGCAAAACTTACATGTATCTGGGCGAATTTCTTCGACTTCAACGGCGTCGCCCTTCATGTATAGTGCCTCGGCCGTTGTCGTGTTCGCACTGGGCTACCGGAATGTCACCCCATGCTCAATTCGAAACAGCTTTCGCTCAGGTGTGTGCCCTCCCAAAAATATCCAGATATCATTCCCACAGTCTATCTGTTTTTGATCTAGCTAAAGCTTATATTTTTTCTAGTTCCAAAAGGAGTTACTCAAGAACAAGACAGGCATTTTCCCAACTTTTCTCGAGCGTACAGCTGTAGGAAGTATTGTTGAGGTTAGGAGTATAACTGTACTAATCCCTTTTTGCACTCTTATTTCTCATTTGAACACTTTCACGTTCTGTATACTTTGGAGGTTTGTGTTACCATTTTCAGCTACGATATGGCGTTTTATTTGAGAAACAAATTGTCTTCACCCAAAAATTGTTAATGGTGGAAAATGCAGGAGTCATAGAACAAATTCTTTTCGTAGCACCACACGAAGAGTGGACGTTTTATACAGATCTTGGAGAGAAGAGGGTAAGGATATCAAATAATATTGAGTATTTGGGCTCACGAAGGATATTAAATCTTTTCGAATAGACTTTAATGTCCTGCGTGACCCCATATATTAATGTGAAAGTTTTAATTGAGTACTTCCAGGTAGACCTCGCAAAACCCTCGCAGTATATTGTCTATCAAAAGCTTACTACCCAAGCGAACATCCATCTTATGCAGACGATCAACACACAAGAAATTCGTTGGTGAGTTTGAATATTTGTTTATCTGTTTTGATTTGTTTTGACTACTTTTGTATTTTTTTTTTTAGTTTCATTGTCTTCTTAATCTATTACATCTCGTCTGTTCAGGACACCACAAACGTTACATCAATTGAGCAGCGCATTCGGCAAGCTGCAACAAGTGTTCGATACAACTTGTAGGAATTGCAAGTAAGTGATGCCTATTGTACCCTTCGTAGCGTTTACCACACCTTTTCAGGAAAGTGATGAAAGACTTCCTCCCTCCACTCATTTTCGATTTTCGCAATTTGAAAAATGCTCTACACGAGACCTGTCGTTGATTTGATTTCATTCTGTGATTTACATCAATTTTGAACCTGTCCACAGGTATGCCCTACTGTTTTGTGGTTATCAGAGATCAAATGTTCTGCGTCCAATACAGGTTGGCCCTCATAACATTCATTTATCGGAATGAGTTGCGTATTGGTGGTCCGATGTGATGGCGTGTTTCCGATGCGCGACCTGTTTGTGCAAAGCATTAGTCGGGCGCTCGCTGCTAAGTGGTCGGCTTATATGACTGAGGAGTTGAAAATTGTAATGAGATGATGAACTTTATTTTCTCAATGAGTTTGGTAGTGTTATTCTTTAAAGAGTGTGCAACTCGCAATCTAGACGCCAAGACACTCAGTGTTCCTGACCTCTTCGTTCTTGGAGTTTCGCTACCCAGAAAGTGCCTTGCAATTCCCATGGAACTCTGAATGGAGACCCAGTAGTTTTGATTTGGACGCTGATTACAAATATGGGCACTAAAACTGCTATGTGAAACTTTCCTATGAAGTGGGCTTTCAAACTTGGAAGAAGAACGTTTATGAGGCGAGCTGAGCTGGCGGAATCCGAATGTTGCGGCTTCGCGCCGAAAACCGGATTCATATTCGCTACACAGAACACTTTAGACCAATATACAAAAATTCCATTCGGAAATTCGAAATGGACCAACTCGAAAAGTGAGCATCTATTTGTATTAAGGGTAACGAGGATAATGGCTGAGAAAACTAGTAGAGCAGGGTCCGATGATACCGTCGCCACGCCTGGAAGCACATACTTCTAACGCGAGCCATGTGACTCTACCTACGTTTTTACGTACGTACGGTTTTCTGTGATCAAGACTGGAGTTCAACTGCCAAACACGATAGCAGCGTTGGCGTTGCAAACCTATCTGGACTACCATTTAGGAGATGCCTCCTGATTGCAAAGAACGAAGGTTTTCGACTCAGGGCGCTTCTTACGCTTCTTTGTCGACAGCTCACTTGTGAGTGATTATATTGGACGAACCCTGTGCATTCTCGCATCACCATATGCCGACAGCAACCCTTTCCCATACGTTAGCCTAACGTACTACTCGTGGAGTGCTTAGTGCCATAGGCACATACAGTCCATTGGAGCAAAAAAATGCGCTTTCAGAGCGTAACGGACAGAGAGGTAGATTTCCATGACTGACTCTTCTCGCTATTGCTGTACCTTGCTTCTGATTTCCTGTCTCTATGCATTCTATTGAACTTATACATGTTTGATATCTCCGAGTAGCCGAAAGAGGGCTGTCATGACAAACTAGTTACATCGAACTACTCTGTAGCGCTCTGATGAGCTTCATTCAAGTTTTGCGTGAAAAAGATCTTTTTGACTCGCTAGTTTTCGCTGCACGTTATTCGCCTTAGTGCAAAGAACAGAAGCTCATCGAGTGGATTTAGCAACCGAGAATTTGTTTTGGCAGAGTAGCGCAAATTATGGGTGGTCCGGAAGGTCCTAGAACACATTGAGTCTACAGTCGCTAGCCTTTGAAAGATAATAGCCATAATTTTGAGTTACGGTAAGACTGTGTAGCCAGCATGTATTGAAATATTACAAGGGTCTTCTTTTAAATGGACAAGCCATATAGATCCCACAAGCACGAGCACTATTCACCTATCGTATACTATGAATTCCTACGAAGACATTCTGCAATGGAAGCAGTTGACGACATCTGCGTTGTATCCCCGAAATGTGTAGTTCACCATTTCACTGTCACTCGTTGGTATCACCGCTTAGAGTCCGCCGACACTTCCATCGAAGCCTTAGGACGTTCTGAATATCCATCAACTCTCCAACAGTGCTTTAAGCTCGAAACAGAACATTACTACTCGTGAATTAGCAACGATTGACGGGTGCATCAATATGACTGTCAGCAATCGTCTTTCCTTCTTGACTTCCGCAAAATTTTTTCCATGGTCTCCCACGGACTCCGCGAATCGGGTTGGCCCTGTCGTGTCAGCATGTCGAGTAATTACTTCTTTGTCCGTGCGGAGGAGGACCTGTTGACTGGGTTAGTAAAAGGAGACGACAGCCGGGGCCTGTCTGTCTGGTGTACATAAGGGAATGCGATTGCCAAAGGGGAACAGCCAGCGAAGCAATCGGGACGGGTTCGCAGCAGAAGAAGGGTCTCCCGTGTGGTGGGATTGTGATGGAGTTCTCTACTACGAAATTCTGGAAAGTGGCCTACTACCACGACAGAACAGCGACAGTGCACTCTAAAAAACTACGGAAGGTTTCCGACGCAACCCCTCACAACTATCCAAAATGAAAGAAGTTTGTTTTTGCACGATAACGCTCGCCTCACGTGACAGCGACGAAAAATTAGAAAATCCAGGAGCTCGGTTAGTAGGTACTACCTCATCCACCATACTCTTCGGATCTAGTCTTCCGACTGCTCTTTGTTCCGAGCCCTGAAGCGACATCTACGAGACAAGGAACTCGATAATCAGGAGTAACTCAAACGGAGATAGACGTCTTCTTCAGCACACTATCTACAAATTTCCCGGAGGGCTGGGTTCGACGAGTTGCCAATGTGAGATTGACGAAAATTGTCGATGATGATGGAAACTATATCACTGATTGAAGTTGCCTTTTATTGAATGCAAAAAAACGATATCAAATTCGTGCTGTCGAAACCCTTCTTAGGACAACCGAATAATTTGAACGATTTTGCTGATCTCGATTTCTATCACCGTTCATACTTTTCTGATAGGAATTGATTCACACATTTAAGGAACTGCTCTTTAAAATGGGTTCTTTCAGCAATCCAATTTTCGAACTCGCAACATAATGAATTCTCCATTTGCGCTGTATTGAGCTAAATTGATGATGCCATCTTGCGGGCAAAGTCCGCAGAACAAGCTGGGTGTAGAAGGCTCCTAAGGCTCCTTCAACTTAGTGTTAAGTTAAAGAAACTGACTACACAAAATCCCTCTACTTTGCAAACAATAGGACTTCTTTCTGACATTTTTCGCGACTCGTGAGCCTGTTCAAAGTGAGTAGTGTTAAGGTGCCCTGCAGAACTGAGAACAGAAAATCTACAAGTATTTATGTAGAATCAACCTAAAATCCTGTCATTTGCATGTGCTTGCAGAACTACTTCTTCTAATGGTTCGTAAACATAAAACAGGATATATGTATGTATGCTTTTGGGATCGCAGAATTAAGCCTTAACGCTTCAAAAGTCGGAATGTGGACCGATGGCGAAGGTAGGGCGGCTCAAGAAGCCAAAACACGTAACTCAGTCGCGATGCATGACACGACCGCGAGAGATACGTCGCTCGACTAGACGCACGCCGATTCGAGTGGTGGCAGCGTCGCAGCGTGGTCGATGGTTCAAGCCTCGTAAAGTTATGTCGCTATGACACGTGCAACTTTTGCGCGCGACCGCTGGAATGATCTGGTAGGGTAGGATTTTGAAATTCCCTCGCGTATCCTTCCACAGGTCAATCTAACACCGGGTTTTGCCTTTAAATAACCTTGGTGGGAAAGTGAAAGGAGGAATGGTAGAGCAATATGACTGCGTAAGCAGCAAGAAGAGCGCAGAATCCGTTCCCAGCAGGTCCAAGGCCAGGAAAGTCAAAAATCCAGCCAGGCGGCATATGGTGTGATTTAGCTCTTTTTTTTTACCATGAACGTAGAGATCCGAGTAGAGAAATAGCAGTCGGTAAGAGCAGTGAACAATCGTAGCGCTCACGCTAATATCGGAACCAGCTCGCAACTATCTCCGGCTAATATGGTTGTGGAACAAACACTAATAGAATATGTATGAGGGGGCCCTCTACACCCAGCTTGTTCTGCGGACTTTGCCCGCAAGATGGCATCATCAATTTAGCTCAATACAGCGCAAATGGAGAATCTCATTATGTTATGTTGGCGACACATTGATTTGCTGAACAAACGTCCAATTTCAAGAGCAAGTTCTTAAATGTTGAATCAATTTCCTATCAGACAAAGTATGACGCGTGCATAGAAATCCGACCGATCCAGCCAAATCTCTAAATTCTTCGTTGTCGCAAAAAGGTTGCGGCAATGACCCGCACGACCCTGCATTCATTGTTTTTTTGCTATTCAATAAAGCAAACTTCACTCAGTGATATAGTTTCCATCATCATCGACAACTTTCGTCAATCTCACATTGGTAACTCGTCGAACCCAGCCCTCCGGGAAATTTGTAGATAGTGTGGTGAAGAAGACGTCTATCCTCCGTTTGAGTTACTCCTGATTATCGAGTTCCTTGTCTCGTAGATGTCGCTTCAGGGCTCGGAACAAAGAGCAGTCGGAAGACTAGATCCGAAGAGTATGGTGGATGAGTAGTACCTACTAACCGAGCTCCTGGATTTTCTAATTTTTCGTCGCTGTTACGTATGAGGCTAGCGTATCGTGCAAAAACAAACTTCTTTCATTTTGGATAGTTCTGAGGGGTTTCGGAAACCTCTTCCGTAGTTTTTTCAGAGTGCACTGTCGCTGTTCTGTCGTGGTAGTAGGCCACTTTCCAGAATTTCGTAGTAGAGAACTCCATCACAATCCCACCATACGGGAGACCCTTCTTCTGCTGCGAACCCGTCCCGATTGCTTCGCGTGGCTGTTCCCTGCTTTGGCAATCGATTCTCTATGTACACCCCAGAAGATCAGGCCCCGGCTGTCGCCTCCTTTTACTAACCCAGTCAACAGGTCCTCCCCGCACGGACAAAGAAGTATAAATTACTCGACATCAGGTGAATAACGGTCGAGGATTTCCTCGACCATAGCTCTCTACCATGTGAGAGTAGTGCCGAGAGTGAACATCCGCGCGGAGAGCACAGACGGCACGCCCATGGCGAGTGTGAATGTCCGCGCGAGAGATCGTGTCTGATCCGGGCAGAGAATCCTCGACGTGCCGTTGAGGAATCCTCAAGCGATATTCACCCTGCTTGCATGCTGAACGAACAGGGCAACCCGATTCGCGAGTCGTTGGGAGACCATGGAAAAAAATTTGCTAAAGTGAAGAAGG